TCTTCTCGTGCTCACCCTCCTAAGCCCTGCTGTGGGAATCTTGGTATGATTCTTTGGCCTTAAGCTTCATGTCATGCCTATGAACTAATTGTTCTGATAACTAAGAATCAACACGATTTGCATTTTAGGCACCAAAGGCCTGAAACCCAAAGAAGTGGGGAGCTTCAGCTTAAAACAAAACTGAGTCCTTCCAGCGATAGGACAAGACATGGTCCCAGCCACTGCTCTCCAGCTGGAGATGCAGAATTATGAGTTGCTTTTTGCAGAATAGTGTTTGGTAGTTTCCCAATGAAATATCAATGGTGCAATCGTACTGGTTGTAGAAGCAGGATGAGGCAGTGTTGTTGGCTAACATGAATCATTGCACAGCCATAAAAGAGAAGAAGGAGTTTTCGCTTACCTTGTTGGAGTGCAGTGACGCGGCAGAGGGAAGAGGTATATGATTCCTGTGCTCCATCATCTGTGTCTACGCAGGGAATCCGAGATCAGAGGCAGCAGTGAACACCAGTGTGACTGTCGGCTTCTGAAGACAGACACGCCTGCAGCCCACTCACCTCGACCTGGGCTCGAGCTACTTTAATCACTTCAGCCCCTAAGAGGGCAGGAGACAGGCTTCAGTGTCTGTTAGCATCTCCCCTAAGAGGCCGGATGAAGCGAGATATGAGATTACAGAAAATGAGACATATCCTGACTCCAAGCAGACATCATTTCTGTGTCTCAGTCTTGAGAACGTCAGGGTCACAGCCGGGACTCAGCCTAGACGCAGCTTAAGAGCGTGGTCCCTGAGCAGACTGCCCGCCTTTGCATCCGGGCTCTACTGCTTAGGGTCTGTGTGGCCCTAAGCACGTTGTTTAACCCTTTTGCTCCTCAGCTTTGTCATCCTTGATGTGAGAATAATAAATAGAAACACCTGTATGGAAGGCTATTGTCCGGGTTCGATGAGTTGCTACACGGGAAGCACTTAGAAGTGGGAGTAAAGTAGAAAATCCGTGAGAGTAAAAGTATGAAATCGGTGTTTCCTCTTCCTCTCTGCCCACCTTACAGCCTCGGAAGCGGTCTGAGCCACTTAGATCACTTAAAATGAAGCACCCACTAAAGTCTCTTCCAGCTCGAGGCTTCGCTGGTTCCGTGTCTGGCCTCGAATAGGTCTCCAGGAGTGGGGAGGGGCCGCGCCAGCATCCTCAGGGAGCTTGTTAGAAATGCAAATTCTCTGGTCCTTCCCGGGTCCTGCTTAAATCAGCGTCTCAGGGTAGACCCAGAAGTCTAGGATTTAACATGGGCTCCAGGTGATTTTTAACGTTGGAGAAGCCTTGTCTCAGAACCTTCTCCTTACTGAGAAACGTGAAGCCACATTCAGGAACCTCACATCCGGGAACCCCGCCCGTGGTGCTACCGTGGTCACAGTACCTGCAGGGACCAAATGTCTTCATTGTTCCCTTTGACGTGTGGGCCGGTTGGAAGCAGAGCATTTGGAGGGATTTTTTAGTTCCTTGGTACAACCAGCTCAGTCAATGAAGAAAAGAGAGATATTTAGAATGAGAGGAGAGTCCTGGCTGGGGCAATTATGATGCAAGGGGCTGAGTTTTAGTCCCCAGTTTGTAGATTATTTGACCTTAGATCAGATTTTTACCTCCCATCCTGTGCTGCGGTCCAAATAAGTCTGTAAACTGGAGGTTGCAGCTTTGTGATTCGGGACCTTAGAGGATGGCCTCCAGCTGCATTTTTTTGTTTTTTTTTTTAATTTGAGTCCAACTAGGCTCATAAGGGAACTCTGAGAAGTCATTCTTTGACATAAAAAGACTATTAGGCAATAAAAATTGATCAACAGTGTTTGCTGAGTTTTCCCAAAATTCAAGCTATTACCGTAAGTAATCACTGCAGTTTTCTAAAGAGGAAAGAGTAATAAGGGAGTGGACTTTGGCATCAACCTCGAACTCTCTCCCCACTCCTGCGTCTCATTTCATGTATTTTCTCCAGGCTCTTTCCCCCTGTGTGATCAACAACACAAATATAAAACACAACATTTCTAAAATGCACTTCTTTGATCTTCTGTAGGACATATTTCTTGTTAGTTACTTCTTGAGTAACAGTGAAACCATTACTTTTCCAGCTTTCTTCCCGGGCTGAAAACTGTGAGTCAACTCACAGCCTTCTGATGCATTACAGCATCTCCTGGGTCTGCTTCTTAAGAGTCCTTCTATTTTAAAGGCACAGCCCAGTTCAGGTTCTTACCACCCCATGGCCGGGTGGGTTCAGCAGCCTTTTGGCCGTACCCTTGATGGACCAAGCCTATTCCCCACCTACCCCACAATGCACATACTTCCATTGCCATGGCAACACCTCTCAAAGACTTGTTTCTTATCATGTCCTTCATGCCTTTGACAAAGAACTTGCTCTGCCGTCATTTTGTCTATTCTGTCAAATCCAAATATCTCTGCCCAGCCTCCAAGCTATTGGCTAAATCTGCCACCCATTTCATCAAGAGAAGTCTTCATATTCGATTTCATTCCAGAAAATCCACGTGCCATTTTCATCACTCCACTTACTTCTTCCCACCTCCAGTGCACCGTGCATACCACCTTCCCCGTGCTACCCACAATACACTTCGCCCATCCCATGTTTTTCTTCCTCCTTTCCTCCCATTTGTCCTCATCTCCTGTGGCAGAGCTCTTATTAAACATTGCCTCTGGTCCCCGCTGTCTTTATAGGTCCTGCTGCTGCTATATCCACACTCACGTGTACCTTGCTTTGCAGATATCCCTAAGCAATTTTCATATGTAAATTCTCATCTGGTTAGTTTACTGCTGAAGATCAGAGGCAGCAGAGAATTTTCCATTTCTTTTGTTAATGCTACACTTTGGGGGATCAGTCCAGAGAGCTGAGGTCAATAGAATGAATGCTCAGCATGAAGTGGGTGCTCACTACATGTTATCCACTGATGGCAAAAAGGTTGCTTGATCCTCTGAATACAACCAGGGGAGAAAAAGCAGTTAGGAATCCTCCTAACTGAAGCATATTTCAGGGAGCTCTAAGGAGACCCAATTAGAAACCATCTTTTCTGTTTTCATGTGAATGGTAAGAGCTCGTATGTGAAAAAAAAACTGTGGTTTTTGGATGGCTGCACGCTTCTCTTCTGCTCTGAGTGCTTGCCTGGTTTGCATTACGATTTCCTTCCTTGTTGGAAAGCTACATAGACTTTCTCCCTTTCTTTGGAAGAAGTAGGACCTGTTGGAAATGTGAGGCTCCAGGATTGAAATGCAATGGCCTTGGCTGTAGTGCTCTGTAGTGCATTTCTTGACAGGTCTTGAAAAGACGATTGAATTCTGGCCTGAGCTCTTTTTTTCCTGTAGTATTTGGATGGGTTTCAGCTTCCATGTTCGGCTGGATAATCGAAATAGGTTTTTTTTTCCTTCCTCAGCAATCGTATGTACAATTTCATCCTTTACAGTTCAAATGGCACGCTTCACTACTACGCAGATACTTTTGAATGTGATAGAATCATAGCTCTTTCACAAACAAACAACCCATCTTTTAAAATGACGTGGAAACAGGTGAAAATATAAACTGGTCGTACTATCCTGGTAGAAAAACTGGCAGGTATGTGGTGAGTTTACTAGAGGATACGAACTTACATTGAAGATCTTTTTTTAATTAAACACAGGCATTTTGCAAACCAAAACTACAATGAGGTATCACCTCACACCGGTCAGAATGGTCGTCATCAAAAAATCTACAAACAATAAATGCTAGAGAGGGTGTGGAGAATAGGGAACCCTCTTGCACTGTCGGTGGGAATGTAAATTGATACAGCCACTATGGAGAAGAGTATGGAGGTTCCTTAAAAAACTACAAATAGAACTACCATATGACCCAGCAATCCCACTCCTGGGCACATACCCTGAGAAAACCATAATTCAAAAAGACACATGCACCCCAATGTTCATTGCAGCAGTATTTACGATAGCCAGGACATGGAAGCTACCTAAATGTCCATCGTCAGATGAATGGATAAAGAAGATGTGGCACATATATACCATGGAGTATTATTCAGCCATAAAAAGGAACGAGACTGGGTCATTTGTAGAGACGTGGAGGGACCTAGAGTCTGTCATACAGAGTGAAGTTAGTCAAAAAGAGAAAAACAAATATCGTATATTAACGCATATATGTGGAATCTAGAAAAATGGTGCACATGAACCAATTTTCAGCACAGGAACAGAGACACAGACAGAAAACAGACGTGTGGACACAGGGGAGGAAGCAGGGGTGGGATGAACTGGGAGATTCGGATCCACATATATACACTACCATGTGTCAAATCGATAGCTAGTGGGAACCTGCTGTACAGCACAGGGAACTCTACTCAATGATCCGTGGTGACCTAAATGGGTGGGATGGGGGGGTGGGAGGGAGGTCAAGAGGGAGGGGATACATGTAGACATATAGTTGATTCACTTCGTTGTACAGCAGAAACTAACACAGCATTGTAAAGCAACTTTACCCCAGTTTAAAAAAAAACAGGCCTTTTGGAAGGACTTTTACTTAATTGGAAAACTTCTCCCCTCTTTTATTTCATACGATGAAAACATTCTATCTCATCATCTCTGCAATGTCTGTGGCATGGTGCGAGTGTGGTGGGCTAGGAGTTTTGATGCTCTGTTTTGATGCTCTCTGATAATCTTCAAAGGGCTGCTGGCCTTGGAATCTGCTCCGTCTCTAAAATTCTAGCTTTAGTGATCAGATAAACCTGCTTTTCTTTTTCCTTTGTGATCAAGGAGGGGAGAAGCTGAAATGTGTTTTTATTCTGCAAAATATTTGAGATGGCAGAATCCCAAACGTTGCATTTTGTTCTAGAAACGAGAGCTCGTCAAATGATAGACTCCTTCAGGCTAAGGCAGAGAGATCAACAAGGCAGGGGGAACAGAGCCCCTGAGTGACGTGACATCGGTGGGCGATCGTGCGGTGCTGTCTGCTAACAACGCTGGCATTGTGCCTTCCAGGGTCCCTGCAAGTCATGAACAAAACCAGAAAGATTATGGAGCGCGAGGGGGCCACCTTCACCAACGCCTTCGTGACGACGCCCATGTGCTGCCCGTCCCGCTCGTCTATGCTCACGGGCAAGTACGTGCACAACCACAACACCTACACCAACAATGAGAACTGCTCCTCGCCCCCCTGGCAGGCAGTGCACGAGCCGCGGACTTTTGCTGTCTATCTGAACAGCACCGGCTACAGAACAGGTAAAGGGGGAGCTTTCCAGCCCGTGAACCTCTGGTAGCGCACCTCTGGAAGATGCACTGTATGGTGAAATATATGAAGTTCCAATCGGTCCCTAAGCGGAAGGAGCCGAGGCTTGTGTCTCTCAGCATCCTCTACTTTTCCCTCTGGTTAACATCCCAGAGAGAGGTCCCTTAGAGAAAAGTCAGTGATTCTCAGCAGACACGTTAAGAGAGTGTTGTCCCCATCAGAGCAACCGGCAATTGGAATTTTCCAGGAGAACCTGCAACAGAAGAGTTTTCATCCCATGAACGTGCTTACCTCAACCCTCCAAACCTCCAGGCATCCCAGCGCAGCTTGAGGCTTGTCTTAAATGTTGGCAAATTCTTGCCCATTGGGTGAGAAATCATCAAGTGCTTTGAAATTGCTTAGCACCTACCCCAGGATCTGGGACACGATAGATTATCAAAATTGTTTACTGAATTCGGACGTAACTGAAAGAAATCATCCAGTGAGGTGTACCTTATTCATTCATCTATTTATTTACTCATAATTAATAGGATTGGGAGTTTCTTTAGCTTAGTTTTGGTGACTTCTAGATCTCAAGTGTTTGCCCCCATCTCCCAGGAAAGGAGGGCATCCCAATTGCTACATCTTCTATCACTGTTTAACCTACATAGATGAGCAGTTTGGTTAGTTGGTCTTTTGCAAACTGGGGACCTCCTTCCAGAGAGGTTATGAACATCATACCAGTGTAAGAAAGAAGCAAGGCTCCTTCCTGTCAGGTTGCCCCCAAAACCTTTATTCTCCTAGCGTTTATATGCTCTCCTTGGGTTTTCTGAGCATTTCTTTATGAAAAGAAGTAAAGATATTGATTGAACGGCTGTGATGAAAACTAATTTTTTCAGAACCAACTAGACGTATTCATAAGAATTAAGGGTGTCATAATTAAAACTTGTTGAAAAAGATTTTCAGGTCTGCAGATTCTCTATTCTGAAGATTTAAAAGGAAAGGATATCAGATAAATGTATTCTCTCAAATCTCTTTTAAAAATGAAATTAACCTTTTCCATGTGGCCATTTGCTTCTTCGCAGAGCGCCTTGTGCGCACTTAATACTTGTTATTTATGGATGAAAATATTGATTGTGGGTGTGATAGCACTGTCATCCACAGGCATTCAAGAGCTCCACTCACAGAAGAAACTCCTCCCATGAGCCTCAAGCGTGTTTGCTTACGCTTCAGAAAGAAACTAGGTTACTCAAAGTGCCCTATCCTGAGTGTGTTTTCCCACATAAGTGATTTAAGTTTATAGCACCTTTCACCTGCGAACTCGAAAGCAATTTGCAAATCTATCAAGCATCCCTGTAGGGTTCATAAACAGCAAATGTACTTAGCTCCATTTTATAACTGATGTGGGAATTTCAAATACTGTGTGATGACCAGCTCAGAAGCAAAATCAGAAATGGTCCCCTGATGCCTGATTCCTGATTTTGACCACCAAATTGTGTTTCGTTTGCGGGAAGCATTGTACGAAATCAGTGCCTTTCAACTCCCAGGCTCCCTTATAATTTAATTCCTAGTAGCAGACAGAGAGAGACGGAGAGAGTTGGAACTTAGGGAATTAGAACTCTCACTGTATCCAGACTGGTGTGGACGGTGTCCATCCTAGGAAATGGAGATGCTGGTGACACAGAGAACCCTGCCCGGAACTTAGAACTGTCGATTAGGACTTGCTAATTCATTTCAGGTCTAAATCAAGAAAGGGCAAAAAGAAGATTATAAGTTCTGGAGAGATAGTGAGCAGCAGCGTGGCTATAGTTGACAGTATTATACTGTGTACTTGAAATTTGCTAAAAGGCTAGATCTTGGATGTTCTCACCACAAAGAAAAAACTGGAAACTAGCAAAGATGTGAAGTGATGGATATGTTGATTGGCTTGGCAGTGGTTAATATTTCACAATGTCTATGTATAGCGGACCATCAGGCTGTAAACCTTACAATTTTTTTTTAAGATTTATTTATTTATTTTTGGCCACATCGGGTCTTAGCTGCGGCTCGCAGGCTTCTCTCTAGTTGTGACGCGCAGGTTCCAGGGTGCGTGGGCTCTGTAGTTGTGGCGCCCGGCTTCCAGAGCACGACGGCTCTGTAGTTTGCGGCATGCAGACTCTCTGGTTGAGGCACCCGAGCTCAGTAGTTGTGGTGCGCGGGCTTAGATGCTCCGCGGCACGTGGGATCTTAGTTCCCCGACCAGGGATCGAACCCGCGTCCCGTGCATTGGAAGGCGGATTCTTTGCCACTGGACCACCAGGGAAGTCCCACCTTACAATTTTTTTTTAAGTTAACATCTTTATGGGAGTATAATTGCTTACAATTTTTGATTGTCAATTATATCTCAGTAAAGCTGGGCAGCGGGGAAGAAAGGGGCAAAAAGGGAAATTGATATTTGACGCTTCCTCCCTCTGTACCAGGCACTTTAGCTAAGTTTTCTCACCTAATTCTTCCGGAAACTCTGAAAGGATTTGCCCATATTGCCAGTGAAGAAACCGAAACTCAGGAGGGTTTATCTGAGGTCACAAGCTAGTCAGTGACAGACTGAATCCAGCACACCTGCCTCCAACATCTTTCCTCTTTCTTTATTTCTTTACATATATTTCTATCATGCTTCATTCCGGAGTGCCTGGCAGAGACACATAAAACATAAGATACAGAGCAGTAAGGACACTGTCGAATGGAAACGAAGGGTAGAGCCAGTTAAAATCAAGGCAAAGGTTAATATGCAAACTGCAGGCATACCACGGAGTTGTAGAGAAAGGCTGCATATTTGGAGCTACCTTCCAGATGGCAAAAGCAAAAATGGAAATGCCATCCATTACACAGCTCACTGGGTCACCAAGAAAAAACAAATCTTGCTTCTAAGAAGTGGAGTGTACTCTGGTACTTGTTTCAATTATCCTATGCTGCGTCCACCCTACAAGAGCTTGAATAAAACTCAGAGGTAATTTAGTTTTTCAGTTCCTTTGTTCTCAGACGAACAAATTTAGACCTACAAGATTAAGGTGACTTGCTGAAGTGACACATCTGATGTTCTAACAGGAAGAGTGGGCAACAGGACTTTGGTCTTCAGGCCTCTTTCCAGTATGCTACCCTAACCTAATGGGTCAGGTCTAGGATGAAGCTGCAGACCATCAGGCTTTCCCGGGGACAACTGTCAGTCCTTTGGTGCAGCCCCGTAGCCTGCTTCAATCAGTTGTCTTCTTCAGGGAGAGGAGATTTGCTCCTGGAAGCTAACTCAGATTCTGAAGCCAACCTTCTTCCCAGGGGTCTAGACACTTAGGTAATAATGGAATTTATAGTGAGTCATCCTGTAAAGTAAAAGGAATTCTTTAAGGGAAACGGGACTTTTCCAAACACTTAGGGCTCGTCCAAACACTTAGCTATGAATAGAAAACGGATGATATACACTCAGGAAAATAAATTTTGATGTGCCCATTAGTAAATCAGAAAAATTAAAAATTGGAAGAGTAAAATGGCAGTGATAATGAGCTACGTAATTTAAATTCATCTTTGATGGGAAAATACTGACACGTCTCAGACAATTAGGAAGTAGAGATGTCTCTGTGACAATAATTATCGATCCAACCAGGGACAGAGACCCATTTGAAAATCCACAAATAAGCACATCAGGATGACAGACATCTTAGGAAGTTAAGAGAATTGGTGAGTAGGTATTAAACCAGCATATTTATGAGCCACTAAACTGGTTAGGGAGGTGGGAGGAGCCAATATATAACGATTTTAATGTTTTCCTAATAATGCACACGTTATTTGGAACATTTAGCTGAGAACCTAAGAAAAAGAATGACGGAACTGAACTATGTATTATACATAAATACCCATCTAGAGAAAAGCACAAAGCAGCAATCAGTTTTATGAAGAGCAACTCAGAGAAGACAAATTACTAAGAGGCTTACTTTGGGAGGCATCCAGAATACATGGATTGAAATGAATTGAATTGATCCAATATTGTCTGTACCATTGTGTGACATGATTTTTCTTTTTCAGAACCAAGGCATATTTTTGGACTGGCTGTAACTTAAATTTTTCTAACTTTACTCATGGAAAATATGAGTCTACAACAGCTTAAGTGTTTAAGAAGGGAAAATACAGTAACGTGTCTATTGCATTTTATGTTCTAAGTATAGTGGGAATGATACTGGATTATCTATCATAAAAAGGAAAATTCTGCCTATCTGCTCAAAAAAGTTTTAGTTTAAATTTCTTGTGAGGGTATAGACATGAATGTAAAACCTGGCATAAATGTTAAGGTAAGAGTAATAACCCATGGTTTTTTTTTTAACATCTTTATTGGAGTATAATTGCTTTACAAGGGTGTGTTAGTTTCTGCTGTATGACAAAGTGAATCAGCTATACATATACATGTATCCCCGTATCTCCTCCCTCTTGCATCTCCCTCCCACCTTCCCTATCCCACCCCTCTAGGTGGACACAGAGCACCGAGCTGATCTCCCTGTGCTCTGCGGCTGCTTCCCACTCGCTATCCATTTTACATTTGGTAGTATATAATAATCCGTATTTGAGAGGTAGCATCAACTGTTAGAAAAAAACCCTGAACCGAATGGTGAAGAATTGGAGTCACATCCTTACTCTGCCTTAAACTTGTTTTGAGAACTTGTCCAGCCCAGTTTTCCAACCTATATAATGCAGAGATTTTTTTCCTGTCCAAAACGATTATATATTGTAATTTTTGCTATCACTGTAATCATATTAATTCCTTTAAAAATGGTAGTGTTCAAATTATAATCATAATACAGGATACGTAAAATCACAGGTGAATGAAATTTTAGTCCTACTAATTCTTCTTCATATCACTGGGGTGAAAGGACCAATATTTAATAGAGACCCGCAATAAAAATTTTTGGAGAGAATTCTTTTTGTGACAAAACAATGTAGACAAGTTAATCAATTTTCTAGTTCCGTGTCTTTTTACAGTACAAAATTTATTTATGTTACTTATAGCAAGTATATTTATTTATTCTCTGAGATGTTTTAAAATGTAGAGTTCACTAAAAGTAAGACAAAGTAATATTCTTATCTTTATGAATTATGGCATTATTGATTTTTGTTAAGTACACAAACATAAGATATAGCATACCATAGTATGCTATTTATTGAGCCATGCTATGCTTAGAACTATACTAGACATTGGTGTATGAAGAGCTATAAAGTAAGATTCCTGTCTTTGCTACACTTACAGTCTAGTTGGGGAAGCCAGACTCACGTGCACGAGGTCACCTAAGAGTATATCATAATTTTAACTTGGTTCAAAATTATGTAAATTTTTAGTTACTACCAGTGAAGTCCTGCCACCCCAAATCTAATAATACATGGAATAAAAGCTCATTTAATATATCACTTGTTATATTCGATAAGATTTGACTTCCCTACAGCATCAGAAATCTTTTGTCTATGTGCGTACTATCGCCGACATAAAAATAAATGTTTTTGCCTCAAATGGCTCAAGGGAATTTTTCTAAGTATTATGTAATAGGTAGTCCCGGACAGAAGTTGCATGGCCTAAAGTCAACAATCATTATAATCAGGTCTTCCTGATCATTCTCCCTGTCACCCAACAACCCCCTGCCACCTTCTTAAACAGCTGTGAAGGGAAGTGTTTAATGGCCCAGAGAAAAGAATGATACAGAAGGAGGGGTAGGTGGTGTGTTAGTGACATATTCAGACAGTTAGTTAAGTTGGGTTGAATTGCCAGTGGCAAAGGATAGAAAAACTTCAAACCACACCCAATATAATGGCAATATGGGCGAGAAAATGTAGTTCATCTTAGGGAGGGAGAAAGAGATTTAATACATCTGGAGGAAAATAATTAGAAGCCCAGATAATCAGTTGCAGAGCACTGCCGGGAAGCGTAATGTTGAAAGAGGCCAGGGGTGATTACAAATGAGCCTCAGTCTTAGGAGGCAACCAGAAAGGCCGAGTAACTTGAAGCTGACAACGCTGGGTGCTGCCTCATGACGCACGAGGTCCCCGGTCTCTCTTGGAACCAGTGTGATGGGTGAGGCAACATCTGGAATACTGAATACATTTTTTACACCCCATTAACACAAAGACACCGAAAACCTGGAGGGAGTTCTAAAGCACATAACAAGGCCTATTAAGAGACTTCAAGGAATAGTTTATAAGGGGAGGATTAAGAGAAAGGGCAATAGCCATGGCAATGGGTAGAAAACAGTCCTAAATAATCTAACGGGTAAAACAATGAGGGAAGGGCGGGAATGACTTGTTATGGCTTCCCTGAGAGGAAAAAAAAAAAAAAACAGAGAGAGAACAGAACTAAAAGTAGCAGGAAAAGAAAAAATCTAAAAACTAATTAAGCACGAAAATGTCAGCCAGTTGGGGGAGAAATTTGTTGCCACAAAGTAAATCAGGTTGGGGAAGAAAACTGTGTAACCTCTGAAGCAATGTTTTCAGATGCACAAGTGCAGAACTCTAGAACAGGATTTCCTTGCATTGCAGGAGGGTAAATTATTTAAAATCAGAGCACAGATCATTGAAAGGCTAATGATCATAGCCATGGTCATCATAATACTGGCAGTGGCAGCATTTAATAAGCCCTCGTTATGTGCCAGGTACTGTTTTCAGTGCTTTACATATGTATTCATTCTTTTTAGTCCTCACAACGATCATACCACTATTACTGTTATCATCTTCATGTTTTTCCAGAAGGGGAATTGGAGGTAGACGGAGGTTAAGTAACTTGCCTCCGGCAGGATAGCTGACAAATAACAGAGCCGGGATTTGAACCCAGGCAAGCTGGCTCCAGGTTTTATGTTGCAAACCACTATGATCTTTTACAAAAAGAGAGAAAAGTGGGGAAAAAAACCCTGGGGAGAGGAGCAGGCCAGGGGAAAGAGCTGGGCTTGAGGTTATTAAGTGAAAGTCTTCTGGAAACAGTCCCGCTCTGAAGTCATGCTGGTGGGATGTGGCTTTGGTCCGCCGCCTGTGACTCTTAAATCACGTTGCCTTTTGTCGGAAAGGAAAATCATCTTGTGGTTCGATGTGAAAAGGTGGTTAGTCTCTGAAGACGAGAACCCCTCATTAGAAGAATTTCTACTGCTCAGAGCCAGCTCAGAGGGAAACCCTGAGTCATAGCTGACATGAGACCCTCTGACATTTTGTCCCACACCCGTCCATCTGCTCAGGGACCCTGGCAGAATCCTCAAGCAGTGGGTGTTTGGCTAATTGACCACCTGATTGATTTACTCATTTGCAGATTCAACATATAAATATTCATTCAACAAATAAACATTGCTGTGTTTCTCAGACTTGAGTCAGCCCTTCAAAGAAAGTAAATCCAATGGGAAGTGTCAATTTTTCTAACTCTGAAGCTCTCCTCTATGAAAATATTTAGACCAAATCAACTTTTTTTAAAAAAAAAAAATCATAGCTCAATTGAAAACACAACATTTAACAAGTCCAGAACAGGTACCATCCCCAGAAGACATGGGGCTCCATGAAGCCCAGTTCAAGAAACAAAAATTCATGCAGCCCCTAGACTACATGCAAGGATGAGGGAAGGGAGGTCCACAGATGAGGTCGAGGCAGTGTTTGCCCTCAAAACCCTTACAGTTTAAGGGAGATTAGGTTTCTACGTGAACATAACTATACCACCAGGAAGAGAGGGAAGACAGCTTCAGAGCCACAGAAGTAAAGTGCTGTGGGATCGGGGCGAAGACTGGAATTGAAATGGCTTCTGCTCTGGGCTGATTCATACAGAGGGTGGCAGAGAATAGCACAGGCAAAGGTGGAGAGGTGGAAACCAGAACAAGTAAAGGCAACACGTTGACTGGAGAGAGGGACGATTCACAGAGACGTGCAAGATGGGGTCGGAGGCAAGGAAGGGCTTGGATGGCAAGGTGTCAAACTCAATGTGATTCTGCAGGCGAGGGGGGGCCATCCAAGATCATGAGAAGGTGATATGACCCGAGCTGGTCTTCAAGAAGCTGGCAGTGAGAATGGAAAGACCCTGGAGCCTGCATAGGAAAGCCGGTCAGGAGACAGTGGGCCTCCATGAGGGGTGTCAAGTAATCAGGAAACAGGGACAGATCCCAGAGCTCCAACCCCACTGTTGCACAGCAGCCTTTCTTGGGTGTGACCATGCCAAAGTTACAAATGTGAAGGCCTTCCAGTGGCCTTTTCAACGAGCAGTGGAGTTTTTGTAGCACATATACCTCTATTTTACTATAATTCTATGAAAGTCAGTCGTCTAGGTTGTGACTCCATGTTGCTAGAATTTTTGATTATCAGTAATAAACACATTTGCAAAATACATATAATGCAAACACCGATGACATAAAATACATGTGACATAAAAACCCTGACCGCGTCCCATGATAAACGGAGTTTACTACGATTCCTTGGCTGGGAAAACGTGTACTGTCCTGACAGGCAAAAACAAAGACAAGATTTTCAATAGCGTTTTTGAAATTCGCAGCTCTCCAACAGTTAGAAAACTTATTTTATCACAAAGACAACTTTCAGTATTCCAAATTTCATACTGGCTACTTCTCTGATTGTTGTATCAACTTAACAAAAAGGTACATTCTGCTTTTATCACTTGCACTCAGAGTATCATGATCATGGTGGTGATTTTTATAATCCGTGTACTTGGGCACTACTTTTATTTATTCAAAAGGAAAATGTGTATGTGTCACTTTGCTAAAGGATCAGAGTATTACATGAATGTTATTCTGGCCTCCACGGTTACCAGGTTAACTTTTGTCTCACTGCCTTTTTTTTCAAGTCATAATTTCACGTTGATGCATTTAGTTACGCTTAATCATTTCACGTGAGAAAATAATCCTTTTTTCCCATTGCAGCCTTTTTTGGAAAATACCTCAATGAATATAATGGCAGCTACATCCCTCCTGGGTGGCGAGAATGGCTTGGATTAATCAAGAATTCTCGTTTCTATAATTACACTGTTTGTCGCAATGGCATCAAAGAAAAGCATGGATTTGATTATGCAAAGGTAATTTTCGGGCACTTTTACACTGCATCAATTTACTTTGTGCATAATGGGGGAAAGCCATTTTCAGTGTGTTAGCCCATACACTCGATTGGCTTTCTACATTCTCACAGTATTAGAATGAGAAATTTTAAGGTAATTTTAAACTCCAGGCAAGAAAAAGGCTCTCAAGGAGCACTGACTTTGAATAGCGATTTTTTTCCCCCATTAGGATGAAAGGCAATCAGCCTTTGATGAAAGTATTATCAGAAAAATCATAGATGCCTCCACTCTGTCTTGGGATAATTTGGGGGTTTTTCCTCCTCTAGAGGACTTATCCACGTAATCATATGTTCATCTCATGCTGTTTTGCTTTTCACTGGGGTGAAAGTATATTCTGTCTGTGGCTTCCAATGTAGATGTAAGAATAACAGCAGACAAGTGCACTAATCAAAAGTTGAGAAACCACATTCTTTGCTTTTACTCCTGTCTGATCGCACTTTGATATTGACAAGGACACCTGCCCCATGGCAGCTAGAGTCCACAAAAGTCTGTTAAGGCTGTCAGTCCTAGGATTTCCAAATCAGTTGAAACTGGAAGGGACATGCCCCACGATTCAATCCTAGGATTTCCAAATCAGGTCATAGAAAATGAAATGGACATGTCCCATGGTTCCCTAACAAATGGATCCCAGATTAGTTTTTGTAAAAGTCACACAGGTTTTGTGATTGCCAACTTAAAACTATTTCCAGATCGCAAGAGTGGAGGGGAAAGCATCTTTGAATTTAGCCTGCTAATTAGCCTAAAATGCCTTCTGCCCTCCTAGCCATATCCATCTCTTCCTCATTTATCTAAAAGAAGCCGAGAATCTGCTCTATCTAGCACAGGTCACTGTGAAACAGCTCTTGGTAGAAGTCAGAGAGAGGAGACTCCATCGAACTTTGGCACATTGCTGTCTTTCCACTTGGCCTGATTTGAGCACAGGGGACTTGGGGTGAGGGTGTATGTCTCACTCTTTCATACCCTTCAGAAAACAACGCATGCAAATGAATGCGAATTAGCAATTCACAAACATTGCTAATAGGTTTCCAAACTCATCAAAGTTGAGAGCTGGCAGGGACCTTGGAGGCAGATTTGAGCACTGTCCTACCAAGTGCAGTCATTGTCACTGCTCATTTTTTATCTTGTGGGGATGCTTGTCATGCTTCTGTTCAAGCTATTAACCCTTCTTTCCCTGTTGTCCTAAGGAGAGCAAAGTAATCAAGATTCCTTCCAAAGACTAAATCAGCGTAACTTGCCCGTTATCACAGCTGATTAAGTGTCAAAGACAACTGTGTCAAAAAGAATATGTATCTTTTTTTAGGGAGGAAAGGAATGAAACAGACACTCCCGTGGGCGAAGGTGTTAGCCTGTGGACTTGTCCTAACAATGACATGTGACACAGATTTGGTCCCTTGGGCACTGCTTTTGCAGCTGTTCTGGTCCTTGAATCTACATGTGATTAGTCATGCCTAGAAGCCTCTGCCTGTGCACATTGCCTAGATACTTTCTGAATAAACTTTATACCGGAGTTCCAGGCCAGTGATACACACTTAGAGGAAGCAGGTGTTTTAAGTTTTCATTTTTTCTTTTTTATTCCATTTCTTCCCCCTCTTCCTCTTATTGCTTTTGCATCAGCCCCTGGGACTGCCGGTTTAAGTTATTTTATTAACAAGTCAGGCTCTAATCCCAACAGCTGAGTAATTTTAGTTGTGCAATTAACAGTATAATCTGCTGGAGATCAACTGCTCCCCACACTGAGTGTTTCAAATAAATTAATTGATAAAATGTTGCCACTTTTCCCTGGGCACCCAGATTTTGGCCACGACTTTCATTAGCATTTATTATGTAATTCTCACAGGTGAATTTTTAATTTAGGAAAAGATCTTTTCTTTTGTTTGTGCATTTATGCATGTGTGTGTATGCCTGTGTGTGTCTGTGTGTGTGTGTGTTCTGCAACTGTGAATTTGTAGTGGGCGTGGGTGTTTCCTGCCCTTGAAGTAATTAAATTTTTTTTGTCAAAGAATTACATCAGCGAAACCTGAGAATGAAATATGTATCCGGTGTTTCATGTGCTGGAGCATTTGTATTGCCAGATCTGATCATTATCTTGGGCAAACGGGGACTTGACCCTTTTTTTTTTTTTGGCTAATTCCTAAATTGCACATTATTTTTTTTAAAAGGTTTGTGCACGTTACCCCTTTAGCAAACCCAGAAGGTAACTGCCAGCTGATGTTCTCTGTCTCCGGAAGATGTTTTGCCCCTTTGGGAAGTAGTTTCCCTTACTGCTTAAGATCTTACCTCCTCGTTCAGTGCGTTGCTTCTGAGGGAAAGCAGTATTCAAATGCGATCTGATGAATGTCACCTTTTGTAATTTTTGTTTTGTGTCAAATATATGTTTCAGGACTACTTCACAGACTTAATCACTAACGAGAGCATTAATTACTTCAAAATGTCTAAGAGAATGTATCCCCATAGGCCCATTATGATGGTCATCAGCCACGCGGCGCCCCACGGCCCCGAGGACTCAGCCCCACAGTTTTCAAAACTGTACCCCAATGCTTCCCAACACATGTGAGTAACAACCTCAGCTCCGGGACCTGCCGAACGCGGGCCCCGCCTTTGCTCCCCATCTCGCTCCTCCCCTGCACCCCGTTTCCTTCCACGCGGCACCTCCACGAGACGGGAACACCGGCTTCTGCCCCGAGACCGCGGAACAGGAAGACCCTGAACTCAAGGGCTTGTCGAGGTGCTTTGATTAGGAATCACATCCACATTTGTAAGCGGCTATACGAAAAGAGAGAGAAGCATGCGGGGTGAATGGGGGGCGATTTTGATCAAGGGTTTCCTTCAGTTGTCTTAAATAATATTCACAAACGTGATCTAATAATAATAGTGATCAAGCAGTGTGTTTTTCATAGCAGCTGGGTGGCAACCCCTGGTCTGGTTATAAAAACCCGGGTGGATTCCCTGGGCATGGACTGTTGCAGCTTTGCCGCAGATGTGCAATTAGCATTGCTACAGAGGCAGCTGGAGTGGGCTTGCCCGAGAGGCCTTCTCAGGTCAGGCTTTCAAATAACCTGATGTTTCTTTTTAAGAGGAGGGGGTGGGGAGGCACAGAGTAGAGGGCTGACGGCATACAGGGACAGGACAGAGAGCAGAGAGCTGTAATGTGCCTATCATTCTCACTAGCCAAAGTCGATGCTTAGGCAGCAGAGGACGTGATTTTGATTTTCACTCCGTCCGCACACTTTCTTCTTATCCATTGCAATAATGCACAGTCTTCTACGCAGAGCAGCTGGCTCTGTGTCTGCTGAAAGTTTGACCACCAGAGAGGTAGGGAACAGGGTACTGGTGTGTTTCCTTCGTCACTAAACCTCCGGAATACATTCTTCATCTGTTTGTGCTTAAATATCATCCCTTTTCATCCACGCTGATTTTCTATCTGTGATCCCAGACAGAAAAAAAAAACAAAAAAAAAAGATTAAAGGTACTTCCTTACGAAAAGAGGTAAGTAACTACGGAAGGCATTCTAGTTGCGGGTCAAGACATATCCCTGGAAAACTTTTTCTTTTTATTCTTATTTTTTATCTTATTATAACTAATAAACTGCTGGCTCCTGGTCAGTGGTACTTAGATCCTCTCTATCGTATCAAGTGACTTAGAAAGAAAGAAAGACAAGAACTGACAATACGTATGAAGCCAGGGTGGGTGTCCTACTGAGCATGCCCAGGAACTTGGAGGGTGAAAGTGTTTTGATGCATAAAATATTGTCGACAAAGAAGGTTGCCCCAGCATCTGGGGAATACGGTCTGGATGAGCCATTGTGCTTTGGAATCAACCCTGTGGATGGATATACAAGCCTCTGAAAACCTACCCTACATATAGCTATGCAACTGAATTCATGAATGAAGCCCATGAGTGGTGAGTGGCTCTCCATTACCAATCACTTGCAAATTTAGTAACCAGCTGGTTCAGTGAGAGAAAAAGGTTTTTGCAGGCTTCTTCCATGCCCTGGGACCCACCTTTCTCTTTTCTTTTGAGTCAGAAATCACTCCCTTTGTTGCGTTAACAGAATCTCAGCCTAAGGTGATTTTCCACAACTGTAAACTTCACTGATGTTTTCCCAAGTTTGAGGACAAGAGGTTGACAAAATGTGTTTTACGGCTCCCTAGAAGTCAGCCTGCCTTTGCAGCTTCAGGGCAAGGTCCTGAGCCTACAGGAAAATCAGCCACAGGTCAAGAGGTTCTGACAGCTCAGCGGCATGCACAGACAGCAGTGCAGGACCAGAGGAATCTGCGAAGTTCTTGGGGCCTCAACAATAGCTTTTTTAAAAAAAAAAAAAAAAAAAAAAAAAAAAGCATCTCTGACTGCAGCAATTTAAATTTCTAATAGTTCCACAAATATTTATGGAGTACAACACAGCAGGGATATAGGCACAAGGAAGACACAATTGCTAACCCTGGAGACCCAATGAACTAGGACAGAGGTTGGCACAGAGGGGCCAAATCCAGCTTGCCACCAGTTTTTATAAATAAAGTTTTATTGAAACACAGCCATGCTCATACAGTTAGGTATTGTCTATGGCTGCTTTTGCAACACAACCGTGGAGTTGCGTAGTTGCCGCAGATACCGTATGGCCTACAGTGCGTAAACTATTTACTGTATGATTCTTTACAGATAAGTTTGTCCTGGTCCCCTGCTCTAGGGGGTAGTGTCCAAATAGTCTTATCAGCAGCAGGCCCAGCAGTAAGTACTAGAGCAGGGATCCCAGGGGCTGTGGAAGTTTGGAGGAGGAAGCATGCACATCTTTTAGAGGAACAAGGGAAACTTCAGGGCCCAGAAGGCATTCAAAGTGGGCCGCAAAGGATGGGCGAAATTTCTGCAGCTGATATGCAGAGATTGGGTAGATGATTTCAGGAGGAGAATGTGGCGTAGAAAAGTGGTCACCATGTAAATGAGGCCATCTAAGATGTGACCTAGGAAAGCAATAAGGGATAAAGCTAGAAAGAGAAATTCACAGAATATTGAGAATTTGTGTAATTTGTATGTAAGCATAAGCAGAGAGTCCCTGGAGGCCATTTAGTAAAGGTAGAATGACATCATATGTGAGTTGATCATTTTCTCATGCAAAGTTGCCTTTATTCCTCTTTAATGCAAATGAACCACCTGTGTGCCTTAGTAGTGATGCTACTAAGGGAAATCTGCACATGGCAGAGTGGAAAGTTCTCAGGCCTTGGAGCCAGGCAAGCGTAGGTTCCTATCTCAGCTGTCCTCGCTGAGCCTGTGGGCCATTTCTTTAAGCTCTGAGAACCTGCATTGTCTCATCTGTAAAATGGGAGTAATAACTAGCACCTTGACGTGGTGTCATGAGTGACAATTAAAAGGGGCCCCACCCTGGGCCTGGGACACAGAAGCCACTTCATAGATGCTAATTCTCATTGATCCTTTCTGTTAAGACAAACCATAAAAAACAGTTCTTTCCGGATTGGATCTTTCTTGACCTACAAAAAGTGCTGCTTCGTTTGGTTCAACTTAACGTTCGGGGAAAGCAGCTAGAGAAAGGACGAGTTGATACTTGTCCGTGGTGCCTTGACAAGTCTGTTGACTAGCTAAGACCCGCATTGATGAGGCTGTCACACCTGGCTATTCTAAAAACACAGAAGCAGCAGCCCGGGCTGTGTTATCTTTGCCAGGTGCAAAATGTGCTATAGGCTAGTGCTAGTTTGGAGAACACTCTTGGCCACAGAAGATGAAAATTCACACCGTGGGATGAGCGATCCAGCTTCTGTTTGCTGCTGAGCTTGGGGCTTCGTGCACCTAGAATGGGGAGATCCGCTGTGTCTCCTGCAGCCCTTAGAAGCCTTGAATTCGGGCATCTTTGTTGTAAATGTCTCCCCGGCTGCCGCTGGAGGAAAGGGCTGGAGAGAGTCCGTGTGCGTCTCTTGTCACTGTGAGTGACTGCCCAGGTTCACAGTTCAGTCCGCACACAAAAGGAGTGAGACAAATTGAAGGCAAGCTTTCCATTGTGGCGCTCCGAGCTCCTGAATGGCTGGTTTCCTTAGCGAGAACAACAGCAAGGCATTCAAGCAAAGGGGTGCAAGAAGTTAAGTGCTTTGCAGAGATATTCGGCAGGCCCTAGGAAAGCAGAACGAGAAGCTGCAGGCTCTCCCCTTTCGGCGGGGGGATTCAAGCCATGTGAGCGCACTCCTTGAGGTCACCTTCCTTGGTGGTCAAGCATTTTCCAGATGCCTTTCATCCGCCTTGGGTTAGAGCTATCTGACCCCCTCAGCCTGCAGCGAATGTATCAGGTTTCCATGGTGTTCGCCGTTCCAACAAAGGAAGGAAGCCAGTCCAATATTGCGGCTAGAGGTTATGCCAGCCGGCTAAGAATGAGAACAGATTACAGACGGACGGAAGACACTGTTTGATCAGACAGTGGCTCAGCCACTCCTGGCCTCTGAGAGTTCTGAGGGAGCCTCCGTCATGATAATCACCTATAATCACCGTTACCATAGAGCCCTTCACTATGGCTGCGACCCTACTGCACTTCCCAGTAAATTCTCTCCCCCGTATCCTCACAGTAATGCTCTAGCCTCATCCTCACCTAGCATCGCTTTTCTCTCCTGGCCTCAGTGATGTGATAATATGCACCTGTGGACAAAAGCCTTTATGAGAAAGGAGATTCCATTTATCTTCCTGATGATTCTATGAAGGGCTCAGACTTCCTGAATACTTTCCTACCAACTCTGCATGTATGAACTTAAAAATTTTTTTTGTTCCAATTCAACAGTTCTTTCTCTCCGTCCCTGGAAATGTGTATGACTGTACACACACATACACGCACACGCACACACACACACACACAGAGGTTCATGTGAAATCTAAAATTTCGGTAGAACAATCCACTAAGTTGCAGGAATTGTTCTGACAGTGGAGTTTGGGATGGACACGGCATGTCAAAGGAAAACTACGTCTGTGTAAGCCTCAGAACAGTTTTCGAAACACCTTTGTTATCTAAAGTTGGAAAGAAATGTCTTGCCTTAAAAAGAATGTGCACGTTCTCCCTCATTTCTTCCACAAATACATAAAAGGATATGCTTTCGAAGATGAGAGAGTTTTAAATCCCCCATAAACATTTGTGATTGGGGCAGAATTCATTGCTCCCTTTCCTATATTCCCACTCTCTTCTTCTCTCTATGTTTACTACATATCCCATTGCACTGGCTGTTTACCCAGATCCCCGAAGTGCAATCGCACAAGTCCAGGGGGCCGTATTCACACCCAGTATCACGTGAATGGTGCCCTGCTGCTAGGCAAGGTCGCTCTTTCCCAAAGGCAGGACCCCGCGGTCCATCTCTACCTCTCGTTGTCTGGTGAGCACAGCTCCTGTTGCTCTAGTTGTACAATACATTTTTGTTTAGCAAATGAGTAAACATATTAACCCCACCAACTAGCTGACATTAAGACACTATTTTAACTAGTATGAAAATAGTTGAACAATCAGTTTTATAAATTAAATGAGTACCTAGAGATAGTATAATTCCATAAATTTTTAGATTAAAAAAATGAAT